TGTTTATTTATTATTTTTTAAAGATTTGAGAGAGAGAATCTCAAGCAAAATCCTTGCTAAGTGTGGAGTCCAACGTGGGGCTCAATCTCAGGATCCTGAGATTATGGCCTGAGCTGAAATCAAGAGTGGGACACGTAACTGACTGAGCCACCCAGGCACCCCTAAATAGATGTTGTTTATAAATAAGAGAGCTACTAGACTATGTATTTGTTTTTTACATAATGACTGCAATGCTTATTATAGAATTAGTATCATATGGAGAACATTTGAAGAATGAGGATGGAGTAACAGTTGCTTCTAATACCACTACCATCATCATAAATTACTTGAGGCACATTTCCTTGCAGTATTTTTTCTTGGGAATGGACATTGTTATATACACTTATATATGCACTCATATATGTATATAATACATACACATATATGTATACATGTATGAATGCATACACTGTAGATACTGCTACATAACCTACTTTTAATAGAGGGAGAATATAGTGGAATCCCAGCTCCACCACTTTTGTGTGACCTGAGACAAGTTGTTTACTCTCCTTTGCCTCATTCTCATGTTTAGAATGAGAATTATAATACTAATAAATCTACCTTTTGCATTACTGGTAGGATTAAAATTGATAATATATACAAAGCACTTAAAATATAACTTGTCAGTGGTTTTTATTTTATTACACAGTTTTCAGAATAATAATTTTATTGAATTGACATACAAATATTGCTTATCTGATCTCACATCTTTGAACATTTAAATTGCTTCTAATTTTCCATGATCATGAAAGCCTTGTGGTGAGCAAATTAATACTGTGGTCTTTTCCATTTTTAAGTAGAACCAAGTGGCAGAAGTACGATTATTGGATAAAATACATGATTACTTATGACTTTTGATTTAAGCTGTTAAATGTGCACAAGAGAGAAAGCTTTTAGACATGAAGCCTTTTTCTAGGCCAACAGAAATGAGCCAATGAAGAGGAAGCCATGAAAAGTGTGAGTGTATGTATATGTTTGTACATGTACATGGGTGTGGGGTGGGGAGATGGATACAGAAAATAGAATTTGCAAAGATACTTCTTGATTTTAGAGGTTAACTTAGAAATTAGAAAAACCATGTCATCATTTGAGCAGGTGAGAAGAGAAAATGAGAAGAGTTCTAGAGACATTTTGAAGCAGGAGTGACGGAAGCTGCTGAAACACAAGCTGGGGGTCTTAGTTCTTCAAAGTAAATCAAGAGACAAGGTTTTCCTTTGAGAATGACTGATGGGTACAGGCATGAGCTAGGAGTTTAAAGAGGGAAGAAAAGGTTGGGACCCTGGTAGTAATTAGAGATAAGGCAAAACACTCTAATGTCACTTACTACCACTAATCTTTAAGCTCTGAATTATCTGTAGTCTCTTGGTCTCTGCTGGTCATGGCAGTCTCGAGAGGTGAAATCACAAAGGGGAACATGCCCAGACAGTTCCTACTTTAGAGATTCCAAATCTGCAGGATGCTGTTTTTGGTCTACAGCATATTCTCTTCAGTTGTATTGTGGGCTGGTGTGATCAGTGTGAAATTATTACTCACTGTGTTCAGTTACTCTCTTCTCACTTTCTCTGGAAAATGGCTTTTGTTCTCATCTCTTCACCAAAATTGCTTTTATTAAGTGATCTCCATCATGCTAATCCCAGTGATCAAACTCTCACTCTTCTGTTTGACCCATCATCTGACCTTCTGTCCTTGAGATACTTGGTTCACTTGGCTGCTGAGGCACCCAATTCACATTCATCGTCTGTCTTTTACTGTGCTAGTCTCTTAAGTCTCCTCCCCTGGTACCTTCTCATTTCCCCATCTAAATGTTGGTGTGTCTCAGGGTTCATGGTGCCTGAAGCGACTTGTCTTTCCTGTCCACACTCACTCCCTGGGTCATCTCACCTAATATACTGGCTTTAAATATCCTCTAGCTGATGATGACTGTATCTCCAGCAGGATATTCTCCCTAAACTCTTGGCCCAGAAATCTAGTTCCTTCCCTGGTATGCCCTATTAGATATCTAATGGGCAGTTCGATCTTATATCCAAAGCTGAACCCAAACTTCTGTCTTCTCTATCTCAGTTAAAGTAACAGCACAAATCTAGTTGCTCAAGCCAAAAACCTTGGAGTTATCTTTGACTCCTCTATTACTTTCATACCACATAGGTAATGTCAGGAAATGTTGTCAATTCTACTTCCAAAACATATCCAGAACCTGTTCACTATGTCATGACTACTGCCAATATACCACTCCAGGAGGGGCTTAGTCAATGTGAACAGTGCTCTGTACAGCCTGCAAGGAAATACATGCTGGCTCTGTTTTCACCTGAGTTCAAACCATCATCATCTTAAATCTAGATTATTGCAATAGCTTCTTAACTGGGTTCTCTGTTTCTGCCCTTGCCTGCTTACTGTCTATTCTCAACATAGTAGTTGAACAAATTTCAGTAAGTCAGATCACTGTTCTACCTAGAACTCTCAATGGATTCTTATCTCACCCAGAATGAAGGCAGAGGCCTCACAATGATGTATGAGGCCCTACTTCATCTGCCCAACTTCTCCCATTACCTCTTTAACTTTGTTCACTCTCTTCTAATCATAATGGTGTCTTTGTGGTTTTTTGAACGTTCCAGATCAATGACTATCTTAGGGCCTTTGCATCTACTGTTATAGTATGGCTTGCTTCTTTACTTTCTCTAAGTCTTTACACTCAAAATGTCAAATTCTTGTAAGGGCTCCTCAGACCACTCTATTTAAAATTGCACCCCCTGCCCCCTCAATACTTACTATCCCCATTTCCTGCTTTATGTTTCTTCCTAGTAGTTACCACTATCTAATGTATTTTGTGTTTTACTTACTTATCTTGATTATTGCCTATTTCCCTTACTAGGAAATAAGCTCCAGGAGACAGTTATCTTTGCCTGTTTTTCTCACTGCTTTATCCTTAGGATCTGAAATAGTTCCTGGCACCAAAAGGCATATAATTATATATAATCCCCCCACATCCCCGACCCAGCTATGGAAATACATGTTTAGTCAGGGTGCAAAGAACTTGAAGAAGAGTAGGAAAAGGCGTTGGGGGAGAGTTGGGAAAAGTAACATTAGGAGGCTAAAAATAAGAGACAAGTTAAGATGCACAATTAACTTTAGGATGGAGTCTAAATACTTGCTACGTTTCCTGGCTCTGCTTTGTGGTTACCTATGAAGGCTAGATTTAAACATTTATGAAATATAACAATTAAGAAAGCTCTTAGAGAACACCCTCATTTTAGATGAGTTAAGTTTTTCTTCTGAATTGTGCTGGCAGATTTTTCAATTATTCACTGAGACAAAGACATGGTCCACTTGGCTCACTTATATTAACAGGTGACATTCACAATTCTGGAATGAGGAAATTGGCAACTAAGGTGAGGGCAAAGCCTCTCACATATAAAAGACCAGAGAACATCAGGCCCTTCCATCCAAACATTTTAAAACACAGAATAGGGCCATAGTTTTATTAAACACATATTCTACATAAATGTACTTTTTTACGTTTATTAGCTATTACCAGCTAGCTAATTTAAGACACTATTCATGGTGGGGAAAAAAAATTAATGGGTTAAGTTCATATGAAAAAGATTGAAATGGAGATGTACATCTTCTCAAAGAAGTCAATTGTTGGACATTTAGTCATTGTAATCTCTTTGGCAGATAAGCAAAATTATGAGCCAAACAGAGTGCTAATGAAATTGGTACTATTTATTTTATTTAAAATTTACTTTTCCCAAATTAAGAATTAAGTTAATGTTAAAAAGATTTAATGTGTGTACTGGTTTCAAAGCTTACATTCTTTATTTGGAGTGTATCAGATATGGGCCTGAGGTAGGTGATTGCTTCTGCCCCTTCTAGCTGGTCACTTTACTTGTAGAAACAGAGTATCAAGACATTTGGATGGAAAAAAGGAAAGTAACATGTTCCCCTGGATTTGCATTTATCTATATTTCAATTAGGGCAAAAGTGGGAATCTTCTCTGAGCACATGCAGAAATTGACAACAGAAAACAGGTAGCCTGTAAGTTTACTAAATATTTAGAAAATCCAGCAAGGAGCTAAAAGCTGGTGAGAGATAAAACAGATCAGAGTATTTACACATTGAAGAGTAAGAATGGACATTACCTACTTTTATTATGGAGACTCCAGCTCATGTTATGCTATAAATTTTAACTTCAGTTTTTGTTGTTGATAAATTTTTTAAAACTAAAGGGACTAAGCAGACAGACTTTGGTGTTCACTTCTCAAAGAAACTGTAGTATACAAAGACAAGGATGATGTATACTAACAGTTAAATGGAATAAATATTTAGCTATTGACAGAAACCACTTGTAATAACTTATATATCAAATCAATGATCCAGGCAGGATTCAAGTCTGAGAGAACTCTGTAAGAGGATGATCTTTTTTGTTTTTGTTTCTAATTTGGAATAAAATATTTTATAGAGTATAGGTTTTTTTTTTATAGATTATAGATTTAAACTAAATTTCTGAACACAGAGATTTCTCTACATTAAGATAGTTGATCCTCTTTCCCTATATAGTTTCTTTCACCTGGCTTTAAGTTCATCAAATTTTCTTTATATAAGCATATATATGAGAATGAACAGAATGGGGGAAATAAAAAGTACTTTAATAACAATATTCCAAAAATAAAGTTTAAAAATACTTGAAAGAATGAGATAAAATTCAACTGAATAACATGGAAACCAAAGTGTGCTGTCTCTGTTTCTTTTGCCAGAACATAATCTTTCTGAGCTTTCACTTTTATATTTATTAAAAAGAAATACAAGTGTGTATACTTAGTAGCTCTGAGGTCTTCACAACTCATATCCTATAGTTTGATGAAGCTCATGATTGAAATTATTTTTTTTTTTTTACAGAGCAAGGAAAAGAGATGTGATATTTCCTAATTGGCTACAAGTAAAAATTTTATAGAATTTTCACTTACCAGAAGACCATCTTGATTTTCATTGAGTTCAGAAAGTTTGGAACTGGATTTCTGACGTTTAGGTTTACCCCTTTCTCCAATATAACTGGAAGTATTTTCATATAACTTTTCCACTTCCTGAGCATTCAAAATACAATCTTCGAGGCTGTTGAACCCGGAAGGAATATTTTCTTTGTTGATAAGTCCCCTTGAATTAAAAAAAAAAAAAGCTTAATTTTAAAAGGTAAAAAGGACATTTTAATGACACTGTTAGTGCATCACATGGGAAATCAGGAGAGTGCCCAGAAATTCTAGTTTGCCTCTTTGATCAAAATCTGAGCACAGTGCTACTCCTGAGACTACTTGTTGCCAAATAAACCACATTACAAGATAAATTATTCTTAGGGGCAAACTGGCAAGGATTGTGTTTCTATCAATGAACAACTTTTGAGGTTGTACCAAAAGTAATTTGTATTCAAACAGAGAAAACAGTGTAATCTTACAGAAAAACTTCCCATTATTAACAGATTACATATACACACACATTTTATTTTATTTTAAAGATTTGTTTATTTATTTGAGAGAGAGAGCATGCACAGGGGCAAGGGGGAAAGAGAGACACAGAATCTCGTGCAGACTCCCCACAGAGTACAGAGCCCTAGGTGAGGCTCCACTTCATGACCCTGAAATTATGACCTGAGCCGAAATCAAGAGTTGGATGCTTAACTGACTGAGCCACACAGCTGCCCCTGCTACAGACACTTTTTATAATACAATGAGTGGAGAAAAATCTGAAAAGGAAGTAAGATGTCTTTTTTCTCCAGAATGGGACAAACTGATTTTCCCAAATGATAGCTATTTTAGCATAGTAGAAAAGTATTAATAACAAAATCTGACTGCATTTGATAATCTTGGTAGAAACAGGATAAGTTAATAAAAACTATGGAATACATTTTAATTGAAATATGGATTTGTTACTTCCCAGTACAAGGAGTTTTAGGATGTAAGCTTATAACTGTAGATCCTTCATGACATAGTTTTAGAAATAGATATGAATGTCTTATCTACAGAATTTAATTTACTTAACACTCTTGAAATCATTCTGAGTATTTTAAACATCCCCTTAAGGAGTTTTCATAAAATTAAATTCTTAGCAAAGTGTTTTTTTTTTTTTTTACTACATCACAGGACAAATTAAGCCATCAGGGTAGTGTCATGGCGTGCTAAGGTACAAATGAATGAGATCTCTCCCTTATCCTATGACTGAGTTACGGTAACTCCCTAAACACTTACAGCTATATTTTGAAATAAATGAGCTCTCAAGAACAAAACAGATGACTGTATTTTACCATCAGTTCAACATATCCAAAAATGGAAGATAATCTTAAATATTCATTCTTCCATCTAAATTCACATCATGGAGGCAAAATTATGATTTAAATACTATTATATTAATGATTATTAATATTTACCATAACATTTTCAAAGTTATACATATTTACCATAACATTTTCAAAGTTATACTATCTTTGGTGATTTTTAGCACTCCATATTTAATTTAGTCTTATTTCATACAACTTTTAATGTAAAAATACTTAGTAAAATCATATAAAAGATTTATACAATAATCATTAGAAATATCCTAATTATAAAATAATGGCAAAGGAAGAGCTGACAGGGACTAATATGCTGGCATATGTACTTGTGCAGACATCTTCAACCTCTCCCCTCCATCCACTGAGAATGGTGCCTTCTATGGATGGTTGGAGGAGTTTGGTTGCAACTTCAAAATTATTTGTTTTACTATATAAATTCTATCAGTCTTCATATTTCCCCTAACTCCTAGGGTATACATCCTATTATAATTTTTTTTTGTGGAGGAGTTTTTATGTTTGAAAGCTGCTATGACAGAATTGTGCTTCCTCCCAAATTCCTATGTTGAAGCCCTCACCATCTGTTAATGTAATTGTTTTTGGAGACAGGGCCTTTTCAGAGGTAATTAAGGTTCAATCTGGCCATAAGGGTGGATGCTTTAATCCAACAGAACTGGTGTTCTTATAAGAAAAGGAGGAGATACCAGGAGAGCATGCACATGGAAGAAAGGCCATGGGAGGATATGGTGACAAGGCACTGTCTGGAAGTCCAAGAGAGAGGTCTTATCAGAAACCAACCTTGTACACACCTTGATTTTGGACTTCCAGCCTCCAGAACTATGAGGAAATAAATTCCTCTTGTTTAAGCCACCTAGGCTGTAATACTTGGTTATAGTAGGCCTAGTAGATTAATCAAAAGCTAAAAAACAGTCTTAGAAATTAAAAGACAAGGTTTATTTTATAATCTTTTTGAATAGTGAACGAATGGCTGGAATAAATGCTGTCAAAATAAACATACGAAACTCTGTTCAGTGTGCTCATGTGGAAAGCCTGTACTCTTAAAAAAAAAAAAAAAGTCTGCTTTTGTACAAGTCAATCCTTTCAGCCCCAGTACATATGTGATTGTGAGGAGCACTGGTATATGACTCCTGCCTGCAACATTCTGACAGGTTTCTTTCTTTCTTTTTTTTTTTTTTAAAGATTCATTCATTCATTCATTAATTCATATATTTATTTATTTATGATAGACATAGAGAGAGAGAGAGAGAGAGAGAGAGAGAGAGAGAGAGAGAGAGAGAGAGGCAGAGACACAGGCAGAGGGAGAAGCAGGCTCCATGCTGGCAGCCTGACGCAGAACTCGATCCCGGGACTCCAGGATCGCGCCCTGGGCCAAAGGCAGGCGCTAAACCACTGAGCCACCCAGGGATCCCCATTCTGACAGGTTTCAATCATACTTGACATAACTGAAATCTGACATGAACTCAGATCTCTGGGGCCTCTCGCTTTATCTAGAATTTCTTCTTCACCGCTACAGACTTAGTTAATGCTCTGGCAATATTCAATTATTTATCATTCCCCTAATATAGTATGTTCTTTTTTTCCTTTTGGCTTTGCAGTAGGAATTTAATATAGTATTTAAATAACAAATGTGTACAAATTTCCAGCTTACTGTGTTTTGGACAACTGAAACCACCTAAATTACTCTTTGCTTTAAAAAAAATATAAAATTTCCATGCATATAGAAGAAAGACTATCACAATGAACTTCCATATACCCATAACCAAGAGTTATCATTTCCATGTACCCAGCAAATGGCAAGTTTTTTAATTTATAAATTAGACTGAACCCCTTCACATAATAAATATATCCCTTAAACTTTGATATTTTTATGGTAGCAAATAATAATATAAACCTGATAATGTTTCCTTATAAATTTAGACAAAGAAGAAATCATTTGCACTAAAATGAAATATTTATAGTCTTAGTCTATCTTCTGTATTTATTTCAAAAATTGGCCATGATGACTTTAGTACAGGCTTTATTGACTATAATCTCACCCTGAAATATGGCTATCATTGGCTTTAAGGATATATTTTTTTATTTGGTTGCAGCTTTAGGTTGTTAGGAAACAAAATTATAGATAAAAATACAACTAATTTCTATTTTTTTAAAAAGATTTTATTTATTTATTCATGAGACACACACAGAGAGAGAGAGAGAGAGAGAGAGAGGCACAGGCACAGGCAGAGAGAGAAAGCAAGCTAGGGAGCCCGACATGGGATTCGATACCAGGTCTCCAGGATCACACCCTAGGCGGAAGGCAGCACTAAACCACTGAGCCACCTGGGCTGCTCACTAATTTCTATTTTAAAAAACTGTTTAACCATTCGATACGGTTAACAGTTTTGAACAGAATATAGTAAAATCTAGCTTAACTTTTATTTTTTAAGCAAAGCCTGATAAAAATCTTTGATAAATGAATCAATTGTGTATAGGTATATACTAAGAAAAACATACTTACTATGGGCTATGATAATGATTCTCAACCTCTGCACAATGAATGATATGTTAGTGTATCTCCTGGGGACGTACTGGAGAGGACCTTCATGGGGACAGAAGTAGTAGGTCTGGGGCCCTGAGAGGGGCTTGCTCCTCCACAGACCTGGTGAGCTCAGAGAGGAAGTGCAGTGTGGACAGGAGTTGAAGAGAAAGGACTATCAAGACATGTTAAATACTCATGTGTCAGGTTAGGAAGAGGTCATATAACTAGGAGGCTAAGGCCAACAGGGAGAATAGGAAGAGGACTTTTGCTTGCCCCGACCATGTATCAAGGAAAAAGAAAAACGAGACTGTTTGTAAGTTACTGTAGCCACACACAGTTTGCAACCTGAGATTTATGCACAGCTCCAGTCTGACCACAATGAGAGATGAGCATGAGCAGTAGAGGAAATCCAGAGAAGAAAAATTAAGGGGAAGGCTAAAGTTTCACAGGTTGGTAGATTAGTTGGTTTCTACCATTCTTTATCTCCTTTTGTTCTCCTGATACTGACAGTAAAATAGGCTCAAAATAACTTATAATAGAAGCATGCCTGGACTTGGGAAGCTCTAACTTCTCAGGAGTAACCAGGAAAGGTTACTCCGTTTCAGATTTTTCTGCCATTCTCTATTCATATGGACCTGGTACCACTATGCCATTCTCTGTTCATCTGGACCTTGCACCTCTGCCTGCTGCCACACACCCACCATCAATACTATCACTGTCTGTCTCTGATCTCTTCCTCGTGCTTATTACCTCTTCCAACCTCTGCTTGCTATACCTCTGTCCAAACACAGATGGTGGAAAACATGATGTCGTGACACACTAAGGATATTTTAAAAACGCAATGTGTTGCTACATACTACTTGGCAAAAAATGAGGCAGAGGGCAAGAACAATATTAAATAATTTACACTTGCTGTGTAACACAGTATGGGCAGTACACAAACTAGTTATACTCCTAAACATTGTCTATAAAGCTTAGTCAGTAGCTAATTTTAAATGTAACCATCTCCTGTATTACAATTTTTCTGTTTTCTAAAGGTAATATTACAGCACTCCCTCCTGCCCACCAGCTCCAAGACAAAATTTTTTTTTAAGGTCCTGCATATATCCCTTAAAAAGTCAGTGGATTATACCACTGATACTGTTTTATTTCTAAAATTACATTTGCTAGTATGGTCCTTAAGCATCTTCATACTATGCAGCATGGTAGTTTTACTACTTGCCTTTCTGTTTTTCTTTAAGTAAAAAGAAGTTTCCTTTTTTACCCCTAAGATTTTCATGTATATTATGAATCCAGGTGAAAAGGAATAAGGGGGAGTAGGGTCTGATTTAGTCTTTGACATTTATTTTTTTTATTTTTTTTTAAATTACTTCTTTTTTTTTTTAATTTTTATTTATGATAGTCACAGAGAGAGAGAGAGAGATGAAGAGGCATAGGCAGAGGGAGAAGCAGGCTCCATGCACCAGGAGCCCGACGTGGGACTCGATCCCGGGTCTCCAGGATCGCGCCCTGGGCCAAAGGCAGGCGCCAAACCGCTGCGCCACCCAGGGATCCCTAGTCTTTGACATTTAATAAGGAGTTCAAAACAGTAACTTTATATAGACTAAATGCTATTGTAAATAAAAATAAACTTAAAAATTTCAGGAAAAATATATGAATATACTTTCCTGATATTTAAATGATGATTACTGAAAAATATTGATGATGATGATCTATTTGTATTGTATCAAATCCTTTAATGGAGAATAAAGTTCCTTAGGCTACTACTCATAAATTCATGCTGTGGGAAAGCTTATAATTAGTCATTATAATAATAAAGAACTCAAGCATTTCCTCTTCTGATTAGACTTAAGCTCAACCTTTCTTATATTAAAATGTAGTCAAATGTCAGAGTATTACTGTCATACTCTACAGTGATATTTCATCAGCCCAATATAGCAGGGAAATCTGTTGGTTTCATAAGTTAGTCTAATAAGTGAATGAATGTTATCTAATAAGAAAAAACTACTTCTGCAGTGCTCGGGTGGCCTAATCAGTGGGGTGCCCAACTCTTGGTTTCTACTCAGGTCAGGATCTCTGCTCAGCGTGGAGGCTGCTTGGGATTTCTCCCTCTGTCCCCCGCCAACTACCTGTCCCTCCCCCCCAACCACTGTACCCCCCCACATGTGCGTGCGTGTGTGCATCCTCACTCACTCTCTTTCAAACAAATAAATCTTTTTTTTTTTAAATTTTATTTATTTACTCATGAGAGACACAGGGGGAGAGAGAGAGAGAGAGAGAGAGAGAGAGAGAGAGAGAGAGGCAGAGGGAGAAGCAGGCTCCATGCAGGGAGCCCAATGTGGGACTCGATCCCGGGACTCCAGGATCACACCCTGGGCCCAAGGCGGCACTAAAAAGCTGAGCCACCCGGGCTGCCCTCAAACAAAACGGCTGAGCCACCTGGGCTGCCCTCAAACAAATAAATCTTAAAAGAAAAAAAAAAACAACAACACCACCTCTGGACAGGCATATGGCAATTTTCTCCTCCAGGAGTTCAGCATCCCTGTTAAAAAAGATATTCATGGGATGCCTGGGTGGCTCAGAGGTTGAGCATCTGCCTTTGGCTCAGATCGTGATTACGGGGTCCTGGGATCGAGCCCCACATCAGGCTCCCTGTGAGGAGCCTGCTTCTCCCTCTGCCTATGTCTCTGCCTCTCTCATGAATAAATAAAATCTTAAAAAAAAAGATATTCATAAGGAAGCCATGAAATGTATTAAATCAGAGGTGGCTTCCTACAACATACGTCTAGACAATATAAAACATCCAGCAAAACTGAAATATTAATTTAGTCACCTACAAATTTGCAAGTGTTAGCTAAATAGTCAAAAAGGAATTTTTAAAGTTTTAACCTGAATACTGATATGGGAATGCCTATAACATAGTGACTAATTTAGGTGCATATTTTTAAAAGAAGAGGAGAAAATGCAAATAAACACCAATGCCAACTCACACATCTCTGCCACGTCGAACTTCATCCTGCTCTTTGGACTGGCGGCGGCGCTGTCTGGCTGATGTGGCTGAAGATGCTGATGATGGTCCAGATTCTGAGTCCTCTGAACTTTGGCCTCCAGAGCCGTTAACATCAAAAAGATGCTGTTCTACTGCTGACCGGATGGTTCTTTCTAAGAGTCTAATAAAAGCAGAACACAGAGTCCATCAGGCAAACAACTTTATCAATGTTTGCCTTTAAAATTTTCTATCTATAATTTTGGGAATATCAGCATTTTCAATGGTAGATCTACCACTGCTTCATGAGCAAAGACAGCATATGAGACATCTCGAAATGTCTGCATCGTGTGTTAAAAATAAAACCAAACATGACAAATTCTACCAATTTGATAACTATGTTTCTCATCTTTGTAGGTTCAGGATTATTGAAATGCTCACAGCAAGTCTAGCAACAATTATCAGAGGCATTCAGGAAATAAGGGTCATTTAATATAAGGCAGAATGAGGAAATATTTTTTCCTCACAGAGTAATAATAGACCTATTCTTATACAGGTGAGTTCCTTCAGATTTCACCAGTTCTTCAGAGGAAGACAGTATGGTTTACAAAGCAAATTGGCACAAATTTATTATGATGCCTATTATCTATTTAGAATCCCTTTAAGGTAATAATGCTATTAAAAAGAAACACCTCACCAGAACAATTACTATTTAGAACAGCAAAGTCTTTCTGAACCTCTATTCAATTAAATTGTGATTATATAATCGAAGCTGTATTCATGCAAACATCCCAGTATGTATTACTGAAGATAGCAGGAGAGATTTACTTCATTCAGCATGAAAAAACATTTAAGCACAGAGGCTGAAGAGTGCATAAGACAGATAAGGTATCTGTTTTAAAGTTATATAATTTTTTAATGGGTCTAAGTCTTCTTTTATCACCATGCTATTTACTTCTGGATAACGTGGCATGGAAAATTCTAAACATATACTCCTCAAACCATGTTTTCCTGCACTTGAAAAAAGAATCACATCCAAACTCATCAAATGGTACACATTAAATGTGTGTAGTTTTTTGTATATTATATTTCAATAAAACTATTAATTTAAAAAAGAACCACATACTTATTTTTAAAATGTCAGATATAGTTGGTTGAGCATCCAATTCTTGGTTTCGGCTCAGGTTGTGATCTCAGGGTTGTGAAATCTAGACCCATACCGGGTTCTTTGCTCAGTGTGGAGTCTACTTAAGACTTTCTCTCTCTCTCCCTCTGTCCCTCCCTACTGCACTCTCTCTTTCTCTCTCTCTCTCAATAAATAAATAAAATCTTAAAAAAAGAGAGACAGGTAATAAACAAACCATGGAGTTTCAGATAGTGATAAATTCTCTCCAAAATGGCAAACAGGATTGGAGAGGGACTGTGGATAGGAAGGGAAGGCTTCTCAGAGGAGAGGACATTTGAACAAAAAAAGTGAATGATAAGAAAATGAATGGCCAGGCTGAAAAATAGCCAGTATAAGGGCTCTGTGGTAAATATAAGCTTGGCCTATTCCAGAAATAGGATGTCACGTGGTCAAAGCACAATGAACAATGTGGTCAGAGAGGGAGGTAATGGCAGGTAACTGGAGTTTAGATTTTTTTTTTTTTTAAAGATTTTATTTATTGGGACGCCTGGGTGGCTCAGCAGTTGAGCATCTGCCTTTGGCCCAGGGAATGATCCCAGGATCTGGGATCGAGTCCTGCATCGGGCTCCCTACAAGGAGCCTGCTTCTCCTTCTGCCTATGTCTCCACCCCTCTCTCTGTGTCTCTCATTAATAAGTAATTTTATTTAAATATATACATATATATTCATTCATGCATGCATGCATTCATTCATTCATTCATGAGAGACAGAGAGAGAGAGACAGGCAGAGACGTAGGTAGAGGGAGAAGCAGGCTCCCTGTAGGGAGCCCGATGTGGGACTCAATCTCAGAACCCTAGGATCATGACCTGAGTCTCAGGCAGACACTCAATCATTGAGCCACCCAGACATCCCTGGAGTTTAGATTTTAGTCTACATACAGCTGGTAGCCTTAGGAGGAAAAAGACACGTGATTGGTATAATCAACAGAGCACTGTCACTGCTCTGTGGAAAAGAGACTTGTTACCATGACTAATTTCCTTTTGATTCTGTGTCCCTCTAAGACTGTCAAATCCCTGAAGGCAGAGCCCAAGGCTTATTTAATATTACATACCCTACACAATGCTTGGCCTAACATAGGTACTCAATCCATGTAGGCTGATTAAAAATGAGGAAGAGAGAAGTAAAGACACTGTTACACTTTAACCTTTAATGGCATCCTCCACTGCAAGATACCTCTCTAAACACGTATTTTGCAAACATTAATAGTCTCTGATGTTATTTTGACTGAAACAAAAATCTTGTATGTTCAAATGATTCAGCTGTCTCTGGTCACACACCCACGCAGAGGCTCAAACAGGAACACATCTTATTTAGTCCTCTGAGTGGTTTTAAAAATCATCATTGGGGAATTCCTGGGTGGCGCAGCGGTTTGGCGCCTGCCTTTGGCCCGGGGCGCGATCCTGGAGACCAGGGATCGAATCCCACGTCGGGCTCCCGGTGCATGGAGCCTGCTTCTCCCTCTGCCTGTGTCTCTGCCTCTCTCTCTCTCTGCGTGTGACTATCATAAATTAAAAAAAAAAATTTAAAAATCATCATCGGTTGCTTATTGTATTAATCTTCCAAAACCATACACCACTAGAGTAGTTTTTTTCTGTTTGATATATGGGAAAGGAGGGGGGGAAACCCCAAGCCAAATAACTTACTCTCCAGTCGTCGAAACACTGCTGACTTGAGATACATGCGTACTGTGGAAATGAAGCACAAAGAATAAAGTCAGATTAGACAGAGCGTCAGATGCTGTGAACCAAACATTTGAAGGGGACTCCAGACTGGAAGTATTAACTAGATGCTGAGTGACCCTAGCACAACATTTAACCCATCCACTGACAGATGCTCATTTTCATTTTTCTCTGGAATTAGAGAATGGTCCTGGTGTTTATGCCTGAACAGTATTTCCCCCCCCTCTCTATTTTAAAGATGTCCATGACAGATAGTTTCAAAGTAATCTTTAAAAACCATCTCTACCTCTTGCCCTACTAGCCTGGCCCTCAGTCCTCCTTCAGGGCCTTTTCATTTACCCAAAATGTAAAGACAATGCTGCTGACTACCTTCCTGCTACCAACTCTACCCATTTCCTGCTCTCCCCAGCCCAAATCTATCCCATCCTAGTCTACCCTCTCCAGACCTGAAGACAGAAGTGACCTCTTAAAACTGCTCTGGACAGGCAGACAGTAGTGTGAACCACAGGGGACAGAGAACAAAGAAACAACACTGATTTCTACACAGTTATTTATTTCTTGTTTTAATGTATTTTTTAAAAAAGATTTATTTATTTGAGAGAGAGCATAAGCAGGGGGGAAGGGCAGACTGAGAGGGAGAAGCAGATTTTCCACTGAGGAGGGAGCATGACATGAGGCTCCATCCCAGGACCTTGGACTGAGACCTGAGCTGAAGGCAGACACTTAACTGACTGAGCCACCCAGGCGCCCCTACACGACCACGCTCTGTAATATTTCATCTCAACATCTAATTTATAGCCCCTTTATTGAACATCTATAAACCTCCTCTACCTTCTAATTTCTCCAAAACCTGAATTCCTTTGAAAGTATTACAAAGTAGTCAACCTAAAGTAGAAGAGTGAAATTATAGAACACTATCTGATTAGCACTCTCTGGAACTTCGCCCCTCTTGGCTGTATCCTGCCTTCATATAACCACAGTGAGGTAAAAACTGGCAGCAATTTTAGTAGCATCGATATTAAGACTTTCTCACGGGCTGCCCTCCATTGCTTAATCAACTTCTAAAATTAAGATTCAAGTCTGTTTAAATGAAAATCTTCCATGCTTGTCACACTTGAGTTTTACCTTACAGATACAACAGTTCCCTTTCTTCCCCCTTCTTTGTAGAAGACACCTGAAGAAAATCACAGGTGTTGATGACTGATCCTGATGGCCACCATTCAGTCACCCCAAACATCCTCATATATACCATGCAATTTTCAACATAGGAACACGGTGGATTTTTTTTTTAATCATCTGTTGGGTTTTTTCCATGTATGAGGGTATCTCATCTCTTTCCATTCAGAATCTAAGCGCCTGAAGGGATTGTATGTTATTTTTCTTTTTTTTCTCTCTTTTTAAAGGTTTTATTTATTTATTTACAGAGAGAGGCAGAAACACAGGCAGAGGGAGAAGCGGGCTCCCTGTGGGGAGCCTGATGCGGGACTTGATCCCAGGACGCCAGGATAATGATCTGAGCCAAAGGCAGACACTCAACCACTGAGCCACCCAGGTGCCCCTCTCTTTTTCCTCATTATACTCCCTACCACTATCACCACCATCAGACCCAGCATAGCCCTCCTAATCGCAGAGGTGATCAACAGACACTCACTCTTTAGCCCAGCTCCTTAATAAGAGCTGTAGGTCAGGGCCACAAACCACAACCAAATCCCAGAAGAGATCCATAAAATAATGCTATTGTTCACAAGGGAGACTGATGAGAAAAACCTTAATAAATGAGTAAATAAGCAAATGAACAAATAAGTACACTCTAACACTTACTGAGTACTTACTACATTTCAGACACTGTGCCAAGTATTTTGTACATACATTTTCTTGTTTGCTATTTATAATAACCCCACAAAGTAGGTACTATTGTTTTCTCAATTTTCAGATGAAGAGGTTAGAGGTTAAGTAACTTGCCCACAGTGACAGAGCCAAGAAGTAGATGAGCTGGAATTTGAACCAAGAAAGTTTTAGCTCAGAGTCTAAGCTCTTAATCACTATACTAGACAATCAATCTATCACTCACTAGGAGAAAAACTCCTGAGAATCATCTCTGTAGATGGAAGCTTGGACTGAGTTATTTTATTTTGCTTTTAATCACAACCATTTTTCTCATCTGCCTCACAATGCCTGTTATTCACAGTGGTTCCCAGATTACATAACCAATAATATATCCTCTGCTATTTTCTGTCCTTAACTGGAACAGGCAGTCCCTGCTTTTGATGCTTTGTGGCTCACCCTCTGTAAAGTCAACACTGTATAATTAACTCCTGTATTTCACTTCTTCATGCAGTTACACAACCTTAATTTTGGGAGCAGGATCCAATGTGAACAGTGACTCTGGGGGGGAACACAGAAGGGTGGGAAAATGTAGATCTGCTAGATGCTAAAAATATTCCAAAGACATATAATTAGCCAATTAGTCCTCCAATGCCCCCTCAGAGTATATCCTTTCCTCCCTTCTACACACTTTTGACTTGAACTTTTTTGATTGATTTGTTTATTTATTTATTCATGAGAGACACAGGGAGAGAGGCAGAGACATAGGCAGGGGGAGAAGCAGGCTCCATGTGGGGAGCCGGATCCGGGACTTGATCCCAGGACCCTGGGATCACGACCCGAGCCAAAGGCAGACAACCAATCACTGAATCACCCAGATGTCCCTCTTTTTGCTTTATTAAAGCATACTGATATTTTTATGTTCCTTTTTGGGGTTTGGGAGGCAGGATACAAAAAGAAAGGTGAGGAAGAAAGACACAAGAAAATGACATCAAGTAGAAACAGGTTCTGAGATTACTAACTCTCTCTGTTAGTGCTTCTCAAATCCTAAGGCATATCTGAATCACCCAGGATCTTGTTCACACCACAGACTCCGATTTGGTAGGTTTAGGTCTCAGGAAGGGGAAGCTGAGATTCTGCCTTTCTAACAAATTCTACAGTGATTCTGATGCTGTCAATTCATGGAAGACACTGATTAGTAAAGCTGTAATTCCCTGCAACTAACATTCTTCAAGACTTCACTTACTTAGATATCACAATAGCTATTTTTAAACATTCTAATCTAAGTAATGAGGGTATGAATTGGAAAACTTATGCTAGCATAAGTGAATAAGAGGCAACACATCAAAATTTCTCTTATAGCTTAAAGAAAATTGACCTAAGCCATCTAAATCAGTCTTAAAGAGCCATTTTCAGAATGCAAAATAAATGAAAAAAAATCAATGACACAAGCAGGTAAATAAGTCATACTCAATTTTGCTAATATGTTGATCTTAGGTCAAATTTATGATAATTTATATTTTTATGTTTCTTTAATGAGACCTTTAGAATTTTTGGTATACTTAGTGTGTCTATACTTTCATGTTTGTAAAGCAGAATTCCTCTAAAGAAAGTATTCTGAGAGGAGAATATTTTTCCATTAGGAATCAGAAAAGAAGTTCTGGTCTTGGCTCTGCAGTTAATTAGCTGAAATCATAGACTGTTGGTTAGCGTGGCTGCTTTGGATAGTTTTCTTCATACAGAAAATGAAAGGTTTGACTAGTGATCCCTGTGGTTTTCTTTTAGCTCTAAAAGTTTACTGCCCTAAAGTTTAAATCATCACAAAACATTATAACTGCATAATGAATTATGACAGTTTTGTCATAGTTATGGTTTATTAACTACCAATAAGGCTTTGGTCAGGTATCCAGCCACCTGCATAGTTCCTGTGGGATGTGCTTAATAATCCACCAATGACAAGATTTCTAAGAATATTTAATGACAGAAATAGAAGCTATTTTCCATAGCTATTACTGACTCATGAAGGTAATTCTAAGAAAATAACAAAAAGGCTATAAGAAGATAAGCTAAAGTGAAAGATACAGATTTCCTTCATCTATATGGAACTTGTTTTTTAACCTTCTGCAGAAACCTAAGAAAAATGAATTTTTTCAAAGCCTTTGAATGATTTGCTAACAAAGTTTCTTACTTATGCAATATAAGCACTTGGATATGGAAGAGATCATTTCCTAATGTTGATAAAGCCTAGTATTCAAAACTGAAAGAAATAAGCCTCTATGTAGACTCCAGCGCTATGGTCAATTTCATTACCCAAGCCTACTGTAAGTGATGATGCAACTGCATTCACTATTGGTATAGTCATGTAAAACAGATTCTAAGCCTACCCTGCAACATATTTTGTGACATACTTAAAATATATTTAGCCTGTATCTTTTTTTTAAAGATTTATTTATTTATTCATGAGAGACACAGAGAGAGGCAGAGACATCGGCAAAGAAGCAGGCTCCATGCAGGGAGCCTGATGTGGAACTCGATCCTGTATCCTGGGATCAGTCCCTGAGCCGAAGGCAGATGCTCAACCGCTGAGCTACCCAGGTGTCCCTAGTCTGTATCTTGATTGACAAAACCCAAACTACATTTCTGGAAGCTGAATGTGCTCAACAATATTAGTCTATAAATTTGCATGTGATAAGATGCACAGAATGCCTGCTGACAAGTGATTCTTTAATTAGATATCTTGATTTGAAATAAAGAAATCTACATATAAAAAGAAAGAAGTTTCAAATCTAAAATCCAACATCTTTAAAAAGCATGTGTTCTCTTTTTCTGTATGTTCTCTTACTTCAGTATGTTTTATTTTCTGTGGTACATAAATATTATTGTGGTAAATATTATCCTATTAAAACAATAAATAGGAATTGTTAGGTCCAACAGAATTATCTTTTTTCCCCTCTAGAATATTTACATTTAGTCAGTTTTTTTAATGGGTAAGGATTTTTCTTTTTAAGATTTTATTTATTTATTCATGAGAGATACACACACACAGAGAGAGAGAGGGAGAGAGAGAGAGGGAGAGAGGGAGAGAGGCAGAGACATAGGCAGAGGGAGAAGCAGGCTCCATGATCACAATCTAAGCTGAAGGCAGATGCTCAACCACTGAGCCACCCAGGCATCCCAATGGA